GGAGCGAGAAGAGGTGTTTGAGTGATGCTGCGTGGTAGTGCAGGCTACTTAAGGGTAGGTGGCTCCACCTGACGCAGGCATTGCGATCACCAGCCAATCAAGATTGGCGTAATGAGATAAATGCTTCTGAGGCATACGCAGGGGGCGTATCCCATACTGAGAATCAAAACGAATGCTAGGAATGAGAGCCATAATTTTTAATCAATTAACATAGCGATTAGATGAAGTTCACTAACATCAGAAATCCTGCTGGGCTATGTCCAGAAAAAAATTGATCTACAATGGCGATTACTTTAGAGATGACATAGTAAAAAAAAATTGAAAGGTTCATATGAGTTTGAATTACTTCAGATTAAAAATGTTTTCTTCCTTTTTTGTTTCTCTCTTGGTTTGCAGCACACACATGAATATCAACATAGACATGGCAGTGAAAGCCATTCTGGGTATCTTCTCAGTGGTTACTGGGCGGTGGCCTCAGTTTCGTGTCAACGGTGGAAGCCACAGAGAAAACCTGGCTCTGCAGAATGTGCAGGTCAGACCCTGTCTCTATCTTAATCACTGTTTCTTTGCCCACCCTCTCTTTGTCTTTATTCTTTCCTTCACTGTATTTGCCTTTGCTCTCTTTTTGTGTGTTCACAAACATACTGGTACAGTTGAACCACAACTGATGACTGCAGCATCAGTCACAGTCAGCTGTGACTGATGCTGCACGAACAGAACTATGGTCATGTAGTACTTTTTATTAGAGTCTCAGAAACTTTTGTATTCACACCAAGTTTGTATGTGTGTTTCTGTGTATGTTCACAGGCTCGGGTCAGGATGGTCCTGGCCTATCTGTTTGCCCAGCTGAGTCTGTGGGCCCGGGGTAAGCCTGGTGGATTGTTAGTACTGGGCTCCAGCAACGTAGATGAAAGGTATTACTCAACTTGTTTGCATTATTTATACATTAGTGTATTTTGTGTTCTAGTTAGTACTTTTTCTCTAAAGTCTGTGAGAGTATCTGTGTCCAGCTGCCGTTCAACTTTCGCGTTTTTGTTTCGGGACTGCCCAAGAACTTACATCAACTGCACCATAAATAGCTGGGATTGTTCCTGGGTTCTGTTTATTTCTGCTTTTTTGGCTTTCTATGGAGTTTATCTCAGCGAACTACAATGAAGTCAATTTTCCCGACTGACTCCGAGTTACCTACACCTCAAACTTTTTGCTGCAGTTCGGAAGTGGTCACCATTCTGAAGAAGTCTGTTAAGACTTGAACGTACTCAGGCCTGTGGCTCTCACCTCTGTTGTAACGAAAGCTATGGAGAGGGTCATAAAGAAGCACATCATTAGGGTGACTAACCCACTGATGGACCCTCTCCAGTTTGCATACCATGCAAGAGGGGGGTTGATGATGTGAAAATATACATCATGGACGTTGTATGCAAGCATTTGGAACAACCCAACACCACAGCCTGACTCGTGTTTGCAAACTTCTCCTATACATTCAACACTCTGCAGCCACACATGCAAGCGGATAAACTCTCCACTCACTTCCACCAGGAGGACCAGCTAATCCTGTGAATCAAAGACTTCCTGACTAACATGTCCCAGAGATTGCTAGTCAATAACTCCTTATCCGACCTCTCCTTCACCCCTACTGGCTCCCCTCAGGACTGCATCCTCTCACCTCCACTCTTCATCCTTGATACTGAGGACTGCAGGTCCACCCAGCCAGACTGTCATCTGGTTAAATACGCAGATGACTGGTGATGCTCACTATGGTGTTTTTTTAGAACCTTTTTCTTATTTAAAAGCTTGTTTGATTTGGACTGTGTGCTTTAAACCATAATCATACTGGAATATTTCTCTTCTGTCAAACTTCTGCTGACATGGAGTCATCTTGTTAGCCAGTATTTTTATATATATTCACTGGTTTTAATTTTGCCATCTTTAAATGTCATCTCTCCAACACATTTTGCACTCATTCTGCCCCATGTCTTCACACTTCCACCTCTGGCTTCATACCAAATGAGCTGTACCTCATCTGACCAAAAATTGTGTTCCCAATATCCATTGAACCTTTTTTCTTTCAAGCATTTATTTTTTCATGCTACGCACTGCTTTTGACTATCTGATCTGTCACAGAAACTCCATTTTCCTCAAATACCCCGTGCCAAGTCTGAAGCAAATCTGTTTTTCAAAGCTAGATCATGCAAGTAGCGCATATCCATGGCATCATTTGCAAGGACAACCACTGCAGCTTGTATTAGTGCTGCTATGACTTACTATGTACCTTCTGATTACCGTTGCTTTTTTAATATTTCTAAAGTATTTGTTTTTGATTGTTTCTAAGAGAAAATATTGTACTGATCAAGAAATCATGCGATCATTGAGAGGTGATACATATCCAGACCTTGAAATGCACAGTTGTTATGAGATAACCAGCATATTCACTTTATTGGTGTAGTCAAAAGGAACTATAACAATAAAGTTTATTTCTGTAGTACCTTTCAAAACTGGAGTTAAAGTGTGCTCTACAAACAAGTAACAATAAAACTATAAAAACCAACAATAAAAAAGACAAACATAAACAAAAGACCAACCTACAAACTGAGCGATGCAACATTATCCAGCAAAGTGCTGCATATAGGCAGACTTTCACTTCGGCATGTGAATGAACAACCAGGAAGGATTGACAGATCATACAAACACAGAGCGTTGAATGATAGAGTAAATGAACTGAAATCAGCGGGCTTCTTGACGGAAAGAACACTGAAGGGCACACTTAAAAATTACAGCATGAAATGATCCTTGCAGGACTTTTATAGAATCTCCTTTAAGTGACACAATGGCAGTCACAAAACATTGTTAGTGTCGCTTCAACAGAAAGATAAATATCTGTTTCTTAAGACAAGCAATGTCGTGGAGAATAATTACAGCATACCTTCTCTTATTATTATTACTATTATTACTAATGTTGTGTTGGTGTGTTGTTGTTGCTAGTACAACAATTTCCCTGAGGTTTCCACCAAAGGGATCAATAAAGTTCTATTCTGTTCTTTTCTATTCCATTCCATTCCACTAAACTACTTCTTCTGCTTAGCCTGACAGGGTATTTCACCAAATATGACTGCTCAAGTGCGGACATCAACCCAATAGGAGGCATCAGCAAGATGGATCTGAAGAGCTTCTTGCTTTACTGTGCTGAGAAGTTCCAACTCACCGCTCTGAGACAGTAAGGGCAACAGACAGATTTATGGGGGGGACAATTAACTGTTGGTGTGGCTAATGTACCTGCTGGTAATCAGAACACAAATACCAGAGCTGAAACAGAAATGTGTTCCAGTATGTTCACTGTGTTTACTAAAACCACAAAGTGAAGAAGTATTTGCACGATTTGCCACAACACTGAAACTGCAGACGGCAACAGTGGAACATCTTGTGTGGCTTTCAGTTTGTCAGTGGTTGTGGTTTATCTGCAGCATCCTGGCAGCACCACCCACAGCTGAACTGGAGCCACTGACAGATGGACAGGTGTCACAGACTGACGAGGTAAGACATGGAAATAAGTATTTCTTTAAAGGGAGTGTAGTAAAATGGCCATGCTGTCAACTTAGAGGTAGCCTGCTAAGCTACTCTTGGTGCCAAAATTAGTTTGTTTTTTTGTTTTTTTTCCATGTATCAGTAACTTACTGCACATCAGTCCCATCTGGACAAAGTAAAACTTTTCACACAGCTGACTCAGCCCGTTGATAAAGTTTGAACTGCAACAGTGAGACTTTGGTGCTCTCTGAATGGGAGTGATGGTGGCATGTGAGCCAACTTGAAAGTATTTTCTCTGCTCTTCTGTTATTAGTGCTAATGTTAGAACTGATGTTATTATTATATTATTGCAGCAGCTTGTTAGCTGGTAGATTATCATGATATTGCTTCACTTTTTTGTGTTCTCTCTCTGTTAAGGTCTGTTAAAGTTTTCTGCATTTTGGATCGGGTCTAGTTATCGTTGTGTTTCTTGGATTGGGTCTGGTCCATTGTGGATTATATAGACCTCTGCCAGCAGCAGATCGCTTACATTACTGAGCCTAAAAGACTTTTCTCCTCTCCTCTAATACCCACTTCTTCCTCTTCAGGCGGACATGGGGATGACCTACTCTGAGTTATCTGTGATTGGACGACTGAGGAAGACCTCGAAGTGTGGTCCCTTCAGTATGTTCTGTAAACTCATTCATATGTGGAAGGATGCTCTCTCACCCACAGAGGTCAGTCAGCTCCCTCACAGGACAAAATAGATTCCCCTGCTAGACAAATGATATGATGTCCATAACAGGCCTTACAGCAGAAGTGTAGTGGCATTATTGACTTGACTTTTTGTTCTGTTATATTATTTTAGGGCAGAATGATGAGAACAGCCTATTTGAGTTAAACTGTTAAACTGCCTGCTCACAACTTTTGGTCCCTTGTTCCCATTTCTTCTTTTTGCATTTTGAAGCTCTACTTAGAACCCTCCTAAGATCCAACAGTGCAAAATGCAAATTCATGCAATTTTTTAACTGGTCTTAAGATTTTGATCAGGAGTGTATTTTCAAATTGCTGTTTGACATGGAAATACTGAAAGTGAATATTGTGCATGCAACAACTTTTACCAAAAAATAAGTCCATTGTTGTCTTTCCTCAGGTGGCCCAGAAGGTGAAACACTTTTTCAGGATGTACTCGGTCAACCGCCACAAGATGACCACGGTGACGCCATCCTATCATGCCGACAGCTATAGCCCTGATGACAACCGCTTTGACATCCGGCCTTTCCTCTATAACACACGCTGGACCTGGCAGTTCAGGTGCATTGACAAACAGGTACCTATACATGAGTTTAACTTTCTTTTCATGTTAAAACGCTAGTAATGTGAAATCAGATCAATAAAAAGCAAAGACTCACAGGAATGAAGTATGGATGCCGATGGTGAACATGATCTGTTCTAGGACTCTGGTGTAGTAAATAAACAATGATGACGTTAATAGACGTCTTTAAGAAGTTGGTTCTGTTTTTTTAACATTGTTTTTTTTTTTTTCCTTTCAGGTGTCCGAGATGGCAGCAGACACCCCAAAGCAATAACGTCTTCATTGTGCAGTGCAAATGCTTTACAACTAGGGCAGATCAGAAGAAATTGTTCTTTGATTTTTTGGGGGCTTTGGGAATTTCTACCTTGTAATAAAAGCCAAGCACTACCTACATGTTTTTGTGCTTAATTGTCAGGGGAAAAAATGCCATGAAGCACATGATATTTCTTCGTGTGTCGTCTGTCCTTATGTGAATGTAGTAATACAGTCATTTGTGGCAAAACTTGTACTGGCTATTGCACCTCTCAGAGTTGCACATAATAAAATAGAAGAACTAAAGCCACTGCTGATGTTTATAAAGCTGATTATTTATCTTGTATGTGGCACAGTAAATGTATTACACATTAGATATATGGCAGTAAAAGACATTATTGACAACATCAATCAAAATTTCAGAAAAACTTTTGAAAGAGAAGATGATTCTTTAAGATATTGTTTGATTCTTTCTAAGAAGAAACTGCAAACAATGTAAAGAAAACGTAAATGAAATAATTAATTTAAAAATGTGCTAGCTGACAGAGCATGATGTGACACATGATGTTAACACGTTTCATCCTTAGCTAACACTGTTTTTGTATATTTTTCACTATATACTGTAAATACAGATCTCTCTTTTTTTTTTTAACTCACCCATGGTACTTTCTGTAGATGATGATATAATTACATCCTCACATGCAAATTATAAAGATTCTCTGTCTTGCACAGAGATTAGTTTAGGGAGGAATGTTGTGCTCTTGGCTCTGGAAAAAGAAATGCAAGAAATGCCAAAAATAAATATATTTATAGTTATTATTACATGTTTATCAAATTTGTGCATTCCAAATTATGTCCAACAAAGTCAAAAGTACATCAGAATTGTGAGATATAAAAACGGGATTGATGATAAAATCGTAAATTAACAGATTGATCAATAGGACACCGTCAGTGGTCGTAACCTACTAGATTGGGTTTTGACTTTTTACTAAATCAAACTTCGTAGCTAGTCAAAAATGTATAGTTAATTTTAAATTTTCAGAAGTTCATTTTCCTTCAGTGTGTCATGATCTTGACTTGCCCAGTGTATTTAGATTTCTTTGTTATAAATTTTGTCATGTGTTTGTCCATGTTTTATTAGTTAAAATGTTTATGATTCGGGTTTAGCTTAGGGTTTATGAGGACCCCAACCCAAAGTAAGAAGAAAGAAACAAAACACTGGATGGACACAGTGTGATTCTCAACTAGGTAGGTGGTCTGAGCAGAACAGTGTTACACATCTTGTGGCATTTAAATTGTAATTATCTATTAACTTCATAAACAACTAAAACAATAAACAGTTTAATTCAAATAAAAACAATTATATTTAAATCCACTATTCCGTATTTTTCATCAACTGAGGGTTACAAATAACAACGTATGTAGTGTAAACGTTATTGGACCTTTTCCACTTCTACGTGGCAGTTTGAATGCTTGAGCAAATGATAAATGTGAGGAACCAAAAATATGACCATTTGATCTACAGATATATACTGACTAAACTCGAGAGCCCTCAGTAGAGACATAGTTACCCAATATATGTATGTTTACCTGATTCTGTGTTTTACTGTGCGCCTATTGAGGATGAACTTGTCTTGATTTTGCCTTAGAATGATACATCATATAACAAGAGCTTAGTCTATCATGTAACACAGATATTTTGCATGGAGGGGAAGTGTTTTACTGTAATTTACGCCTACGGCTAAGCGCCTAAGATGCATGATCTTTTGTCTAAGGTCAAATGACTCAACACCAATATGGGTTCCTATCTGATTGTAATAAGAAACTATGTGTTTATCTTACATCTTTTCCAAGTTATAATGGATTTAAAATCTGTGACGATTTAAGACCTTAGGTGCGACCTTGACCTTTGTCTCAAGGTGTTACATCACCAGTTTATAGGCCTCCAATGTCTTCCTAAGTTAGTATACTAAAGTTGTGTCTTTTTGTGCATTTTCAGTCATACAGAACTGTTTTTGGGAATGTGACCTTTGACCTCTGTAGGTCACCAATGCATGTATTGACCCCAAAATCTAATCACTCTGAGAAGGGACCATACCGAGGTCACATATTAAGTTTCACATTCAAACTCCTCTCCTGTAAAACACTAGACTGGTAACAGACGAGAGAAAAAAAGACATGCACACACACAAAACAAATACAGGGGCATGATTACTTTATAGTTGCCCATCCTGTACAGGTCTTTCTTCTCCCTGGGGTGATGCTGCACCACAACAGTTCGCCTCAGTGGAAGTTGAAACCTGTTTTCATTTTCCTCCCATTTCCTTATCACTGCTTCGTGCTGCACCGGCTCCCTTTCCTCACTGCAATGCTCCTTGTCTGTTCATGTGACTGTGCAGGATGTGCTGTAGGTGGAGTGTGCCTTTAAAGCCAGTGCAGGCTGTAAAGTGAAACTTGAGGACAGGCGGAGGGAGGGAGGCACAGCGCACTTCCTAAAAACACTCTCCGAGGCTCGTCGTCTTTGCGTCACTCTGGCGGTACAGACCGACCGTCTCCGTCAGCACCTCCGCGGTAACCTGTGCTGCTGGGGAGCGGCTTCACTACAACTTGTAGATTTCCTACATGGAAACGGAGAGTCTGCTGAGCGGGACCGCGAACGGAGCCTCCGGGGACTATGGCTCCCGGTCGGGCACGGAGCACAGAGGGGCCCCGGGCAGCAGACGGATGTCGTACTCTGTGTCCAGGGAGTCGTGCAGTGTTGAGAGAGACACAGGTGAGCGGACAGGGGGTGTGTGTGAAGGTTGGAGAAGTCTGGTGGAGGTGGAAGAAGTTCAGAAAGTTGAAATGTGTCAGGACATGTCGGCGACTCGTTATCAGCCAGAGCAGGACGCTTCAGCTCCTTTATTTGGGTGGAAGCAGTAACAGCAGTGTTGTAACTGAGAAGCATTTCAGTAGGTCTGCACGTGACAGTCAGCTTCATTAAAACATGGAAATATGCGAAAACCAGCGTGGCCGGTTAAACAAGCAGCAGTCTGCGGTTCACTGTGGTCCACAGCTCTTCTAGCTTTCCCCATTCCGTGACTCAGTCTGGCCTGTGCTGTTGTTTGCAGTTTTTGTGTGGATTGTATGCGGACTGAGTCAAGGCATGGCATCAACTTTAGTTAGCAGTCATTTTAACTTTAATGAAAACTGCTTTATTCGCAATAATGACTCCCAAACAGCAGCTAGCAATCGGCCAAGCCTCTTCTGTATTTCTGTGTCATCATTGTACATCATAAATCCAATCTGGCAGATGATGATGGAGGTGTGCCTGTCATCTGTGGGATATTTGTGACAACTTTTTATTCTACAAAGGCACACAGGTACAAAAATATTCTCTGATTTACTGTAGTGTAGAAATGCTTTATTCAGAGTTTAATCAGTGTGGCTATTGTCACTTTTTTTCTTTTAGTGAACATGTCACTGTACACTGTAGTGGACGTCATGTATCAGCAATTATATACTGCTCTTCCTGTGTGTAAGTTTAGTGTAATAACATTAGTTAATTAATATTGTGCTGTAGTTATCATCAAAATTGAAACTAAACTTTCCACTGTTTTTTCTATCAATATTCTGAAGGATTTTACAGAGGTGTTGGTTTATATATCATTCTCAGCCTGATTTATAAAGTATTTTATTCCTAAAATATGGTCAAAATCCTTTGTTTTTTTTTCTGGTTTAGTGTTGATTAACTTGGAAGGTTTCATGTTGATATCTATAAGTAAAGATTCCCACACTATTCATATGTAGTATTTTTACTTCATTTTAAACCATTAATTCATGGTGTCCGCTACAGTGCATGGTTTTATATCTTCCTCAAAATACCAGATTTATTTATTTTTTTACAAAATCCAGTTGGACATGTTTTAAGTCTTGTTTGTGAGTAATCGCAAAGTCAAAACGTTTTTTCTTCCTCAGTTTTTTTTAGAATTTCATGCATGAGAGGTTTGCATTTATTTACTTGCACAGGCAGGTACAATATTCTGTACTGAGTCTTACACACCTGATGTATATCTGCCATACATTTCATGCACCTTTCTCCTCCCCTTCCATTATGTTTATTTGTTGTTTTCAACAATAACAACAACCTCCAACCAGCAACTTACATGCGTTAAATGTCAAGTTTTTATGAAGGTTTTGATAGTGTAATAATTCAGGCCTGCTTGGTTCTTTAGGTGAATGTTATCATTTTGCAGCCTGCCTGCATGCAAATGTTTCACCAAAATACTTGTTGAAGAAATTTTACTCATAGTCCTCATGTGAAGTTTGCTGTAGTGGGTGTTTATTAGTATACGGTGGGCTCACCAACACAGAGCATGAGTCTGTGAAGGTGGACCGACCCTGAACATCTGCAGAGTCACACATTTATAGGGTAAGTCGGGGGGGGCTGTATGTAAATACAGAGGTGAATAGAGGTAAATTAACATACAGTTGCTAATCAAGTGACCGGAGGTAAGGGAGGCAATGAACCACAGGTGATAAAATCGGGGTCTGGTGACCAGACGGGTGGTGGAGTTGGGGTTCTGATAGCATACAGTTGCGAATCAAATGGCAGGAGGTCAGGGGATAATGAACAACACGGGGTGGAATCGGGTGTCTGTGACAGGAGGTGGGAAAACACATGGCAACAGGGAATGAATTCAGGTGTCTGTGACCATCAAAATAAAAGAAAATGGCTTTCTTCATCATACTTTACCCCTCACTATTTTGCAGCAACACTGTTGCTGTATCCAGGGTGTATGATCACACAAGACTGTGATTGGTTTAAAGAAATACAAACAAGCCAGAGCATTTTCCCCCCAATATCAGGATGACAATGGGGTGCAGCAAGACCATTCTCCAGTACTGAAACAGTGCTGTGAGGATAGGTCTTGCTATGTGAGACTTTCATCAGAATATTTTTAATAAATAATAATTTTAAAGGTTCAAGTTCAGAATTTGGCCATTGACATGTTGGTCTTTTGAAACTGGATCTAACAGGTGAGCAGTGAATCTGACTGAGATCTTGAGGACACTACAGTGACAAGATCGCAAACTGTCATTCGCAGGGTAGCCCCACCTTAAAACATACCCTGCTTTATCTTCTATTTTACTCTAAGTGTAACCATACTTAGCAAACATACATTATGTTTTATTAAAAAAAAACAAAAAAAAACACACACACACAAAAAAACATAAACTAATTAGAAAAATGTTTTCTGAGTTAACAGGTCAAATGAGAAGTAGATTTATTTTCTTTCCCCCACTCCAACAATCCTATTGCTCTCATTCTGGCACCTGGATGTCAGTTTCCCTCACCCGTACCATCCACACCTTACAATCTTCTGCTCTTATTTCTGGTGCCTGGAGGACAGTCTTACTAACTTCTGTCTACCACTTAAACAATCAGCAACTTGAAATCCTTGCACTTGGATACAAGTTTCCCTGCCATTCTTCTATCCCCTCATCTCAACAACCTCCTGCCTCTATTTCCAGCAACAAGATACCAGTTGCCAACAAAGTTTTTGCAGTTCCACCAAAAAAACTTTCCAGCCATCATCAGCAGTATTTGAAATCTGCCTCATCATTATTTTTGCCCTCTTGTGGACCTCGTTTGAAAACCTTACCATTGCCATTATTATCAAAGGTCAAAGCAACTTTCCGGCAGTCATGCCTTTCATGCACTGCCTCACATGGCTGTCGGTCACTCACTAGATCTTTCTCAATGTCAAACACATCCTGGGCTACTGCAACAATATCACCTGCTCCCTCTCTTGTTTTGCCCTTAGACCCTATCCCTTTGCCTCCATTTCATACCACAATAGTCTGTGCGTAAACCCTACCATCGCAGAGCTCATGAGCTTCTCCCAAACTGGGTGTGACAAAGTGTCACATCCAGTGCTTGGTTCTCCTACTGGACCACCGAGTGCTCCTTGCTCTGTAATTGCACCAGCTTCAACAGCTTCCAGTCGAGAGGTTTTGGACCACCTAGTCCTAACATTTAAGTGCAGCAGCAGTTTCTCCCTGGTGAATTTTCTCTTTCTTTTTCTGCCTCTGCTGCATTGAGAAGTGCTGTTCACACTTGCCTGTCCGGGTTGTGTGTTGGTTGTGTGTGTATCAATGTCACTGCAGCCGTTTAAAGTGTTGCCCTGTCAGTGTTAACCACCACCACCACCACTACAGCACATCCTTCTTTGACACACTGAGTCATCTGCACTAAATGTGTGTGCATAGGAATGTGCGTGTAAGTCATATCTGTATCTATGTGACCACTGAGTGGAAAAACTGCATTAAACAGAATCACCTGACAGCTGTGGAACAAGTTTCTGTTATATACTTCTTTGTTTTGTCTGTTAGTTGCTCCAGTACTGTGTCACAGTGTTCTTTTCTAACACACTTTCAGCCAGTCTCAACATTATCTGCCAGCACTTTCAGTTTTGTCCAAACTTCAAAAATATTTTTTGAAAAGTCAATTCTGACTGAGGCTCAGGTTGAATTGAAATGAAAACTCTGCCTCAAGCAGAGATGTTTTATCAAAATGTTGGAAGCAAACATAAAGCATTTAATATCAAGGAGTGGTGGATACCCAGCACATGTGCTGAATAAGTCTCTGCTGCTTCCTTCCAGATGACATCAGGCTGACAATTGGCTGGCACAGCTTGACATAGTCTTTTTTTTAAAAAAGATATTCAGTGGTGGCCAAAATTATTAGAACACCTAGCATATATATATATATATATATACACAGTGTTGCGGTTGCTGTACCGGCCCATCGTGGTGAAGAGAGAGCTGAGCAAGGGAGCAAAGCTCTCGATTTACTGGTCAATCTACGTCTCAGCTCTCACCTATGGTCATGAAATCTGGGTAATGACTGAAAGAACAAGATCGTGGATACAAGCGGCTGAAATGAGTTTCCTCCGCAGGGTGGCTGGGTGCTCCCTTAGAGATAGGGTGAGGGGCTCAGTCACTCGGGAGGAGCTTGTAGTGGAGCCGCTGCTCCTCCACATCAAAGGGAGCCAGTTGAGGTGGCTCCGGCATCTTTTCCGGATGCCTCCTGGACGCCTCCATGAGGAGGTGTTCTCAGCGCATCCCACTGGGAGGAGGCCTCGGGGAAGACCCAGGACACGCTGGAGAGATTATGTCTCCCGACTGGCCTGGGAATGCCTCAGGGTCCCCCCGGAAGAGCTAGGGGAGGGGTGTGTGGATCGGGAAGCCTGGGCGGCTTTGCTAAGGCTGCTGCCTCCGCGACCCGACTCCGGATAAGCGGGAGAAGATGGATGGATGGATGCCTCCAAAGCACAATTTCATTTCATAATGTTCATCAAACATGCAGATGGTTGCTCTGAGCACAACAAATACCAGATGAAGTGAGTCTGAGTCCTACTACCCCCCCAGCATACACTCTTCACTTGTTGCCAATCTGTTCAAATCTGAACTCATCAGTCCGTGACACTTCATACCAATCATCCTTTGTCTTTCAGGCATTTCACTGTATTTTTCTCTTTCAGTAAGGGTTTCTTCTTTGCTGTTATTCTGCCAACAAGTGCTTCTTCTAGTTTCCGACGCACAGTTCTTAAAGACACTGTTGCACCATTAGTTATTGTGATGTTGATCTCATCGTGCAGTTCCTGTGAGGTCTTTCATCGGTCCTTATGTCTGAACATTTTGAGATGCTTCACTTGTCTGTCTGAAAGTTTGTTTTTTCTACCTCTCCACTTTTGGTTCTGGTGGCATCATGAAAGTCTAAAGTGTACTTTACAGTGCTTGGACAGCATCTCAAGTTCTTGGCTTACTCCATCCAGCATCAAAATGGGCCTTTACATGAACCGGTTGCTAACTCATTAGCTTCTTCTTCACCTTAGCCATTTTCAAAGAACAAAATGTGCTTCAAGGCTACTTCTAGAGGATCTGAATCTATACCAGTTTGTGGTGTGGCCTCAGAAACAAAACCCTGATGTTACCCATAACTTAATTAGCAGGTTAGGCCTTGTTCATTTAAAAGAATCACACAGCTGTGTCCTAAGACTCTTGCATCACCGTCAATTTAACCACAATCACACCAGACAATGATTACACAAGTAATTGGCTTCTTCTGTGAAGGAACATAATTGTGTGACAATGACCTGCTTGTTGACGGTTCTATTTTATGGTTCATAGAGCGTAATGATGACTTTGTAGATATTTAATTCATTTTACAGGTATTTTAGTTTCAACAAAAAATTCAACAAAAATAACTCAAATCACTTAAATATGCCAAGCGTTCTAACAACTTTTGCTACCACTGTATGTCAGTGAAAAATGCCTTTTACAGTTGCACAGTGACTAATTTACCGGATGAAGCCACATGGAGGATGGTATTTTCCATGCTGTGTATCCCCCAACTAGCTCTACCATGTAAACTTTAGCAGTCTTTTCTAACCTTCTTTCTAAGCTAAAGCATGTCTGACCCAGTACCTTAGATGAACCATCGTCATTATTGACAGTGCTATGCTGCCACACCTGACAGGTCCAAATTCAGCAGTGAAAGAGGATGTTCTTTTTGGAACTGTATCTAAAGAGAATGTTATGTCACAAGTATTTTACAAAATCAAACTTTTTGAAAACCCAAAGCCTCCTAAGACTACTAGTCCTTCAAGACTGATTTGAAACCAGTGAATAAGGACTGCGTGGGTTATGCAAAGTCCTCACCTTACACACTCATTCATGTCTGTGTTAACTGCTTTGTGGTCAGTTGCTTTTCTGTTTGCTGTGAATCACACCCAGAGAGAGTGTTCTTCCTTAAAGGGGTTTTGGATCGCATCTCAACTGCATTTAAAGCTGCAGACACTGAAATACCCTTTTTAGAACAGAGCTAAAACCATTGTTGTAGAGTCATAGTAAAATGAACCATTTTAATGTTGAAAATAGACCCAATATGGGATCTTTAAAACGTCCTGTCATTCTTCATCTGCGTTCTCTGTGTGTTATGACATAGGCAGGCTGCATAAATTAACAGAAGCGAATAGTTATTTTTTTCAGCTCCTTTAGTCTCTAATTAGCAGTAAGGAGCAAGTTTCTCAGTCTGTTCCTGATGTTAGCGTCTTTAAAGGGGGAAGCTTTAATTAGAAAACCTGTTTCAGGAGGGCAAAATTAAATTTGTGAGATACCAAGTTTACTTCCAGTTTCTGTCAGTGCCAAAAAACACTCACTACTGTGTGTACAGAAGAAATTCATGTTAATTTCATGTTTACAAAAGCCATGGACTGACGACTGACACTTTAAGGAAGCGGTTAGTGTGTGCAAGTGTACGTGATCTGTTTTGCATTGCTTTTTCTGGAAGTAACACCCACCGGATAATCAGAAGAAGCACCTGGTACAGAAGTGTAGGCTGCACAGGTATTCAGACAATGAAACTGGATCGGTCCTCAGTTTATTAGCAACATCACATTAGACAACATGAATCAGCCAGTTGCATAATGTCTTCTGAGGCTCTGTTGGTCTCCCGGGTCAAAGTTTTGTTCTGTTAGTTTGAATCTCACGCTCATGCTTATGACCTACTTTAGATAAATGCGATAGTAAGATACTGCAATGCTCCTCCAGTCATATTTTGCCATAAGGAAGATAAACCCTTTTGATTTTTGCAATGTCTTGAGTTTTCTTGTTGTGCAACCTTCAGGACAAACAATAGAATTTAAGCCTTACAGGTGAGGCTGGTATTGCTTCTTGTGCTATTGGGTGCAGTGGAGATGTTGTCCACTCATTGGGCTTCAGGATTTTTGTTCTTGATTTATCTACATGTACAGGGCCTTAGTGTGATGCATTATTTGGAATTGTCAGAGATTGATCCAAGCTTTGTGTGTGTGTCTGTAGCGCTGGTGTTTCAGGGGAGATAAACCAGAAAAAAGTGGGCCAAGTTTTTGAGTCTTAAGCTGTGTCCCAGGTCCATTTTTTTTCCAGTTTTGCCTCAAGAAAAAACAAACCTTTATCTTTGGTCCCAGTCCAACCAGTTCTACAGACAACAGCTTCTCCAAAACTGTTTCTTTTGTCTGTTCTAGTCAGAGAACATGTTCTTTTCACTCTGTTGCTTCCTCACTGAACTAAGACATGCATAGTGATTTGGAGAACTACTGGAACATCTTTGGTAATTCATTATCTGAAACAGAATTCAGATGTTCCTGCTACTGTCTCTTGTCTCTGTGTCCACAGATGAGGAGGACCTCTACATCCAACAAGCTGTTGTATTCATAGAGGATGCCATACAGGTGAGTGCAGTGCAACTCTGTGACTTCAATCTCCTTTTGGTAATATTTGATAGTAAGAGGTGAATTAACATTTAAATATATTAACAAACAGCAGTAATTTAGGGAGAATTTGAATTCTGAGACCTTTTTTTTTTTTTTTTTTTTTTTAGTGTCCCTCATGCTAATAGTCTTCCATATGTTCACATACTATGGGACATTTTAGAAAAAAAATCTTTTTGTATTTGAAAATATTTGTAATAATTGTGGTGTATTTAGGTGTTGGAACACCGCTCAAGTCAGACTCTTTACTCAAGAGGTTTGCAATAAGACTTTCATCACTGTAACTGCTGGTTTTCCTACCTCAGCAAATCCTCTCTGTCTAGACAACTTGTCCTGAAGTCTACAGCAAGGTGTTCCTCTCTGCTACCTCAGTGTCACATTTAGGATTCATTTCAGGATTTGCTCTTGACATACAAAGCACTCCATGGTGAGATACTTGCGCGCTTACACAAAGAGTAAAGACTTCTGCAGCTCCACGGTTCAGGCTGAAAACTAAAAGTGCTCACACTTTTGCTGGTGTTGCTCTTCAACGCTGCAACAGTGATGGATCCATTTAATACTTGGCAATGATTTAACTAATACACACTACATACTATGTTTTTGTCAATGTCCTCATTAAACTTCAGTTTCTTTTCCATTAGTTACAGTCACTTAGTCTTGGCAGACAGGGAAATGACTGATTGTTGTATCAATACTTGAATGTAGTCTCCTGTGGTGTCTCAGAGAAGCTAAGTTAGATCACATTTTTCTGTATTTTCCTTGACTTTTATTGTTGTGTTCCTTTCTTTTGTTTGTTCTGTGCTTTTGTGTTAACATACCTAAAACTGTATTAATGAGCTCTACTTGCTTGCCTACAGTACCGGTCCATCTACCACCGAGTAGATGCCAGGTCACTCCGCCTATATCGATGGTACTACTCCAGAATATGCCAATGGTAAGCTCACAGCTTCCAACAGTTTCTCAAGTCTGTATGGATGTAAAGCTAAAAAACAAAGTACCTGAATTATTGAAGTATTAGGAAGAGGTTTTAGTGACGTGTATACTGGGACAGAACACACTGTGACATGTTTGATGTGAAGATGTAAATCACAGAAATAGAGTTGTTTCAGCTGCAGAGTTGTGTCGGTGTGTATACAGCCAGAGTGAATGTTACTAGTGCCACTGTTCTTATCATGCGCCTCAAAGCAGGAAATCACAAGAAACTCGACAGAAATTCTGTATTTAAATTAAAATTAAATTAGGAAAGACTGTAGCATCTGCTGATTTTCAGGAGAGCTGAGGTCTGAGCAGGAGATAGAGACATTAGGTCAGGACAGACATGCATTGACAACAGTAAGTGTATTTGAACGTAATGGTGCAGAATGCAAAAGAGAGCATGTGATTTCTCAAAACCTTACAGCTACAGTGAATATGCAGCTTTGCTAAAGTGACAATTTAGTTCCAAAACTGTTTCAGTTGTAAAAAAAGATCATCTTTATTCATAGAGCTCCTTAATTAATTTAATTTTACAAGCTTCTTCATGGAAATTGTATCTTTTTTGTATATTTAAAACTGAACAACATTAAAAGTAAGATATATATTTGTATCGTGTTTTCCCTCACATCTGGTGACATGACAGTGATACTTTATTTTTTCCACCTGAAAAAGCATGTGGTTAACCAGTCCTACTTGAAACTACTGTTGTTTTGCTTATTTTATCCTGTGGACAGTACATGATAATAGAGCCCTAAGCGGCACTGTTTTCTTAATCACACTCCATTGGATTTCTGGCCATGTGTTCCCACAACATGTGTTTTACTCTTACCCAAACCCACAAGCATTCACACTAGCACAATCTGAAGTTCCATTAACTCTGTCTTTTCCTGTCCTGCAGGGGAAAAAAACACTGTTTTACTGTGTATTATTAAGACAATAATGCATTTTAAATTTCCCTGGTGGAGGATCAATACGATTGTTGATTATGCAGACATCACAATATAGATGTTTAAACCATATATTTTGCAGCATTAAAATGTGATCCATCAATCATGTTGGATTGTGACTTAGGAAATAGCTGTTTTCCATCCATCCATTATCTATACACCGCTTAATCCTCACTAGGGTCACGGGGGAGGGCTGGAGTCTATCCCAGCTGACATAGGGTGAAGGCAGGGGACACCCTGGTCAGGTCACCAGTCTATCACAGGGCTACACTTAGAGACAGACAACCAAGCACACTCACATTCACACCTAGATTTAGAATCTCTAATTAACCTCAACACATTTTTGGACTTATGGGAGGAAGCTGGAGGAAGCCCACTCTGCACGGGGAGAACATGCAAACTCCACACAGAAAGATCCCGGGTGTCCTCACCAGGATGCGAACCGGCGACCTTCTTGCAGCGAGGCAACGATGCTAACCACCGCGTCACCTTCCAGCGAAATAGCTGTTTTTCACAGTTTAATTTGGTTTCTGTTTTAGTGCTGCTGTTAGCAGTCACCACTATCAGAATTTTTTGCTACTCATCTAAGCTTTAGATTTTTAGCCTTATGGGTGACGTGACAAAATGTGTTTGGAAATGAAATGATAATTGCAGCATACAAATTTGCCTATAAACAGTAATTCTAATGGCTTCCAGAAAGGTGTATCCTTTCTAAATAATGATAAGTGTACATGTGTAAACCACCTTGACATTGTGGCACTGTACTGGTAAGCAATCTCCTGTGTGTACAGCCTTAATCGGTTGTAGATGGGATACACTGGTTGTTCAGGTCAGTGTTTCAGACCTCTTTATATGTTGGAAAGTTTGTATTGTTGAAAAAAAAAAGCCATCAGTAAAAAAAAGCCTAAAACTTGTACAATTTGTAACAGACTTGAGTGTTCCATTTATTGTCGACAGTTTTTATTGCAAAGTTGAACTTTTTACAGCACCATTGGGTAACCCTCATTGAAATATGGAGTTGAATAAGCAAATGCATCATGACGTTTTTACAATGTTTTCTTTTTGTCCCAGGCCTTTAGCTACCATGCCTACATCCATTTATCCATCCACTCCTCCTCTTTCCCTGTCCCAGGGGCCTGGGCCTGACCATTGCGGTGGTGTTGTTGCTGGCATTTGTGGAGCGCCCATCTTCCCTTTCTGTCTCCTCGGACCCCCGGAGTCGCTCTCCAGCTATTGAGCCTCCTTGTGGCTTAACTGAGAGCATTGAGATGGTCTGCCTCATCATCTTCTGCCTTGATCTTGCTGTCAAGGTAAGCACAGACAGGGTGTAAAATATTTTCTTTCAGGCCGTGAACAACTGTCTGGTTAACATTATACACAACATAGAACTTGCCTCATGTGTTGTTTTCAAATAATCTTGCTTCTCTTTAAGTTATTTTTAGGTAACTGCTTGTTTGTCCATTTGTACCACTGCTTCACCTTTGCTGTTTTTTCCTCAGAGCTATTTGATTGGCTGGGAGGAATTAAGGAAGAACAAATGGCTGATCGGCTACACTGTAGTCATTTCAGTCTCTATCATTGACTGGGTGTTGTCTGTCAGCATGGAGTGTGATGAGGTGAGGTTCATGCTCCTGAAAATAGCTATCAGATGTTAGACTTTCATCCCACAGCTGTTTCTGTGCCACCAAATGACATTTAGTTTAAAGCTACTTGAAAGTTGCACTGACAGTGACCAATTGGTCAAATCAGCAGACGAAACAACTGGCTTTCAGTCATGACACCCCGTGGGAAAAATTGTCTCATGTCAGCTAGATCTTTGAAATTTTTATTGGTGACTGTGAAGTGATAGACATGTGTCTTAGGGTTGATGCTCAACATTAAATTTAATATCAAACATTACACTGCTACTGGGGATCATATATCTCATGATGATTAAAACGCGAACTAAGCAAACATTTAAGTTTAAACTATTCACAGTTATGCTGAAGTATAATTACCTCAGCCCAGCTAAGTTTGACATATGAGCAAGCACATATCGCCTATTTGTACGAGGTGTGTCAGAAAGGTTCCAGAACTGGCGTCACAAAAGATATATTTCAAATCCAAACTACAAACTACAAGTTTTCCCCTTCAAGGTAATCCAAGCACGTCTACAAAGAGATCCTGCGGTGCTTGTTTCGTTCAGTGCGCAGGAAGAGGCGAGAGTTGTGGCACGATAAGTTGTGGCTGCTTCACCATGACAACGTGCTTGCTCACAATGCCCTGAGCATCCGACAGTTCCTGGCTGAGGAGAACATCACCGTGCTGGAGCAACCTCCCTACTCACCCCCCCTGGCTCTGTGTGATTTTTTTCCTCTTCCCCAAGCTCAAGGGGATCATAAAGGGGACCCGTTTTGAAGATGTGGATGACATCAGGATGGCTGTGAGGACGGAGTTGTGGAGGATCCTGGAAGAATCCTTCCAGGAGTGCATGGCGGTGTGGCAGAGAAGGCTGGGGAAGTGCGTTAGACTCCAGGGGGATTACTTTGAAGGGGAAAACTTGTAGTTTGTAGTTTGGATTTTAAATATTTCTTTTGTAACACTAGTCCTGAAACTTTTCTGACACACCTCGGATGTTGCATGTTGTAATTTTAAGCTCAGGCTACACTGCACTCTGAGGAAGGCCTTGTGAATTCATAGGTGTGTATGATTCAAAAATTCAAAAAGGCACCCTACACTCTAATAGTGATCTTCTCTTTTCTTAATTAATCAGAAACTGAGAGTACGGAGGCTCCTCCGACCATTCTTCCTTCTGCAGAACTCTTCTCTGATGAAAAAGACACTGAAGTGCATCAAGAGAACTCTGCCGGAGATTGCCAGGTATCTGAATCCCTTCAAGTCATGTCTGAATGAGCACCCTGCTCACTTTTCACCCGTCATAATGGCAAACTGTTTAGGTCAGATATAGTAGCGTTTCTGTATTACTTTTACCACGGCAAAAGTCTGAACTACATTCATTTAATGAACAGGCAGACACAAGTAATGTGCTTCAAGTTTTGTGAAGTGATTTGGGTAGAGCATTTATTTTTTTTCATATTTCAGCATCAATATGGGTATATATTTTAATTTTACTGTTGGTAAAGTAGCACTTTAGATAATGATCACACATGGAGAAAGTTTTTGGTGTTGAGGATGTTGTTAAACTAAGCCATTATATTTGGACACTTAAAGAAATTGCACTAGATTACTAATTCCTAAGTTTCTGAAAGTAATTATTTACATTAGCTGTCGTTTGCATGGGAAGGGGCAGCTGGTTTCTCGGGGCAGGGGTTAACTTAGCACTGTAGTCTTTATCAGTGTACAAACTGAAACACACAGTTGAGTTATTGTCTATTCCATCTGACCACTTATCCCCCCCCAAAAAAAACTCTAACATTTCCAGGGCACTTTCACTTCTGTCAGCAGATTGCCACATCCTCAAAATCTGGTCACACTGATGATAATATGCTCTGACTGTACTATTATTACTGAAATATACACTCCCTGTATGTGTTAGTGTCTAGTAGCATGCCAAACTATAACAAGATATTGTATTTTAAATGGGACAGTAAGAAGTAAGGTTTGAGGACTGTCTGGTGCTGACAAAAGTTGTTTGTTTTTTTTGTTTTATTTTGTTTTTTTTGTTTCTTTATAGGCGACAGTGATCTTTTTTTTTTTTTAATTGACATTCAACATCATCACTTTAGATCTGCTAAACAGTGAAATTGCACCAGCAATAGTGGCACAACCATCCATCCATCCATCCATCCATCCATCCATTGTCTATGCACTGCTTAATCCTCTGTAGGGACGAGAGGGGGCTGGAGCCTATCCCAGCTGACTTAGGGTGAAGGCAGGGTTCATCCTGGACAGGTCTCCAGTGTATCGCAGGGCTACACTTAGAGGCAGACAACCAAGCACACTCACATTCACACTTACAGACAATCTAGAATCACCAATTAACCACAACATGTTTTTGGACTTGTGGGAGGAAGCCGGAGCACCCAGTGAGAACCCACGCTGAACATGCCAACATACAAATTAAATTTCATTATTTCCATGAGTATTCCAGAGGTTTGATGCTTGGCATATCAAAGTTGGCTTGTCCTTCTGTGAAGCATCAAAATAGGACAATACAGTTGCTATAGCAACTGACATTGTTTTGTGGATGTACTGATCATGAGTTTACCAAAGTGGATTAAAGAAGGTGCAATTTCAAGCAGAATTTTGAGACACAAGTGCTAAACACCATTGATTCTTAATAAATTATGTCTCCAGACAATGTGACAGTGGTGATTGTGCTTTTTAAACAGTGAGCCTGTTTTATACGGCAACTCAAGTTTGGGACCATTTGTGATTCAGTAGCTAAGGTGTGAGAAAAATCACTGCATGACTGCACAATTTAGTAGCATCTGATAGGTAAGGATTAACAAATCTAAAATAAAGAAATATCACCACTTGAGCACAAGTTTTATTTTGAAGCTTTTTCAGGAATCAGCATTAAAAGACAATGTTTGACGACTTGCAGTTAAAGCACTTTCAAAACTCAGATGAACATGAAACTCTACTGGTCTCATGTTTTTACATCGCTAGTCTATGAGAATATCCATCCATCAGTTATGCCTGCTCATCCTTTTGGTTGAGCTGAAACTAATAACATTTGACATCTGCACACAGTGGACAAGTCAGTTGATCACAGGACTGCCATTCACACCAACAGGCAATTCAGAGTCACCAGTCAACCTGCTTGTCTTTGGGCTATTTCACCTTCACCCTAAACATATTTGTGGGTTTTCATGTCTTTGCAGTGTAATTCTGCTGCTGGCGCTTCATCTCTGCCTCTTTACCATGATTGGCATGCTGCTGTTTGCTAAGACCGAGGTGAGTGTAGTGGGGTCACACCCTGTTAAGTACACCATATACTCCTACTTAACTGCTGACATGCTGGCTTTTCTGAATATGCGTGTGTGTGTGTCCAGTTCAGATTTAATATATTAAACATTTAGTGTTGAGGTTCATACCAAACACTTTTGACCCCATCTGAGCCAATCTTGACCATCATCTGACTAAAGAATGTATTCCTTTTATACTTCAGACTGTTTTTCATGTTATTTAACAAAGTTTAACCTTGTTATTGTGTGCCAAAACACAAGCGAAGATGTTTTTTTTGTTTGTTTGTTTGTTTTTTTCAATTAATGCTATACATAGCGTATTATGTTATGCAGTGTCCTTCACACTTTCTGAGCTGTAACAAAACCTTCCACTGATAACCCATATGTCCAGTCTGAAGCATTTCCCCTTCTGTCTTTCAGAGTCAGATTGTGCAAATAGTTCACTGTCTGTTGTGTCATTTTAGAAGGACAACCACAGTTAATCTGTTTAATGGTGCTATGGTTCATTCTATTCCTCCTGGTTGCAGGAAATGTTTTTCTACTGATTATTAATTGGTCATTGATAGTCCTGAATCCTTCTCTATATTTTTAAAGTCTAACAGATTTTTTTGAGTCATCTGGGAGTTCTTCTCCATGTATAGCTATAATGCAGATGTACACAGCCCATAGGTCCAAACTGAGAAAGTTGTGGTGCTCACAGGTCATTTGATAACCATGTTTATGCAGTTAGGGTGATATTGTTTCAATGATTGCAGGGTTTCTAATGTGTGTCAGTGAACACAGGTGTATTCACTTGTGTTGCATACAGTTTTTTCTTTGTATTCTCAGTCTTGGTTTCTTAAGTATTAGGGTTTGTTTGTTTGTTTGTTTGTTTTTTTAATGTTCATAGGAGGAAATACTGTAATTGTCAACTTCGCAGTAATGCAGTTATTGATAGTAGATACAATTTTAAATCCTTTGACATTTAAGAGATATTACATGGAGGTGCACTCACTTCTTTTGTGTACTGTATATCTTAAGTAGAAACCAGTGGGTTTGGGCCTGAGAGCCACAGTTAAAGGGAATTCACAGGGAGGTAAGAAATTAGGGGCTGACTTATGTTTTTATTTGAGTCTTTTCGTGAGATTTGTCGACAGCAAAAATGTAGAATAAACTCATAGTACTTCCCACAAACCAACAAAAATGTAGTGATGTATTCAGACAACATATTTAATATAGTTTAGAATAGTTTATGATAATGCATAGCACATATACTGATGCACTTTTAAGAGATTCAGTTTGTAACTGTGAGAAGCAGAAAAACCTGGAGCTGGAGCCTCATGTGGGACATTTGTCTAATTTCAGTACTGTTTCTAAACCCTGTGCAGGGAGCACAGTAGGAGCTGTAGTTCTGCTCTGCTTGCCCTCATCTTTCCTTACCACTCTCCCTCTGTATCTCTGTATAGGATCCAAAGAAGAACGGGGAGTGGGAGTTACATTTTCGAAACCTGCCTAATTCTCTCACCTCTTTGCTGGTGCTGCTCACCACAGCCAACAACCCAGACGGTAGGCAATCAGTGTCATGATGAACCAGCTGTGCTCACATACTGGTAAATGTTACTTTCTTGGGACTGACTGTTTACTTTTTTATTGTCCCCCATCCAACACAGTGATGATCCCTGCCTACTCTCAAAACAGAGGCTACGCCATTTTCTTCATCACCTTCAGTGTCATTGGTAAGCAGCAGTTACTACTGTAGCAGTGCAGCAGTTGGATTTGAAGTGGTACATGATTCTAACTGCATTTGAGTAAAACGTTTTAGCGGGAATTTGTTTGCTTCCTGGCAGGAACCTACTGCCTGATGAACTTACTGACAGCCATCATCTACAACCAGTTCAGGGGTTATTTACTGGTGAGTGACTTGTACACGTTGACATCCTGCTGCCATATTTAATCAAGAAGGGGCTTTAGTTTTTCTAAATAAGTCTCAGCTGTTGTTAATATGTGTTGGAATGAGAAAAGGCAAGCCTGGGCAGTGGAAACACCCATCATTTCATAGGCCTGGGTAACGATGTGGGATTTTGTTGAGCTGTTGATGAAATTTAAAACCTGCAGAAACAGCTATGGAAAGTATTTAGAGCAAGATGGGTAGTGAAAGATACAAATTGCAATTTGGATAAGGATTAGCAGTGACAAAAGACACTGTTAGGCTATAAATATATCTGTGCTGAGTAAAGAAAGAAACTGTTCCTCGAGTACATTCACCCATTTTTCATTGGAATGAAATCACAGTTGAATACAACAAAAAATGATGTCAATTTAAAAAAAAAAAAAAAAGTCTGATTGGATATTCACTCTGAATCATGTATGTTTGACTCAATTCTGAACTACAAGTTTCAAAATCAAACCAATGACTTTCTTAAGTGGAATGAAATTTATCAAAATCTCTAACAGTGGACAGCATGCCAGTAAACATGGTCAGCGTCTGCAAAGAATGAGTGACTTAACAACTTAGTAAAGTTGAAAACTCCAGTATTGTCATTTTAAACTTACCTGACAGTGTGTGGAAGAGTCTTGGTGAGTTGGGACTGCCATCTGCTCACCTGTTCATAGCACCTTACAGAGAAACACAAATACACAGTATATGCAGATCTGAAGCAAACTAAATAAAGACATACCTGTATTAATGTGAGTGCTTTCGGTGACCTTCGTGTGTATGCTGTTACCCTTGTTAACCTTCAGATAACCTGAATGACGAGCCCTAAGCACCAAAGATAGAGAAAACAAAAAAAATAATTCTGCAGATTTGCACATTAAGAGCATGAAAATTAATCTTTCTGTTCATGTTTTTGTTCAGATGTCGGTTCAAACGTCCATCATCAGGAGACGGCTGGGTATCCGGGCAGCTTTCCAAGTCCTCAGCTGTCAGGGAGCCGAACGACCTGTTGAGTAAGACTCATATGCAGTTGTGTTTCTATCACTTTAGAGGACATTACATTGACTTGTATTGTTTTCTTCCCTTTGAAGTTCTGCATTGATGTGAGAACCTGCCAGAATGTCCTCACACTTCATAAATGTCCTTCCTTGTAAAACTCAGTTTGCTCCTTGTAATAATAGATGTAAACACGTAGGCACTCTTCATTTGCTTTGTCTGTCAGGGAGCGCGTGTGTGTTGATGCTGTGCTGACAGTGATGTCCAGAGTCAAGATGAAAACCTACTATCGAGCGGCCATCACAACGGTCAGAGTTGACACATCAATCTCTGCACACTCATACTCACACCAGCAGACCCAAGGAAGTGCAGTGTCAAGTTTGAAGCAGACTGAGTTATTGCAGTTGCTTTGACCTTTGTGGTCCACAGCATGGCATTTAGCTGCCTGTGGGTGGAGCCCCTGTTGCAACACAACTACATCGAAGGCAAATGTACTGTGTCATGTGATGATGTCACATCATCATCGAGCTAAACGGCTGCTAAGGATACTGTTGTGAAGGCACAAGTAAAAACACCCTTGAACAAAAATATGAGGCCTACTCATTTAAAAGAGCTCAAACTCAACACTGTACTTCTTCACTTTCCTGTCAATTAAAGGTGAAAAAGCCCCACAAAAAACAATATAAAAATTAAAGCCGCAAGCGGCGATGGACGGGTCCTCGCCCTACGTTTGTCGGCCTTCGCGCACGGCGGGTTGTGGCGCAAACCTGCTCCAGGCGGGACTGTCATCCGGCATGTCGAGTTTGGGGCAGATCGGAGCAAGTGTGGCCTAGTTACAAGCCACTTCCTGTTTAGTGGCGAGCCACGGTGGCGTGCATTTTGGCCATGGTGGAAGCGCGCTCTGGCTGAGACTCGGAGCACGCGTGTAAAATTTCAGGCTGATTGGAGCACAGACACAGCACGTCTTGTATTCTGGTGTTTTATGGCATTGTGGCCAAATTCAGGGGGGCGCCATTTCCACGCCGTCACACTTGTGCGGACCGTTTTACTAACGTGTAATCACCACCTCCTGTAGTTTGTGCTGGCCAAATTTCAGGTGTGTACGACCTTCCCTGTAGGAGGAGATAGATTTTGAAAATGGTCAAAAATGGCCAAAAGTCAGCCAAATGCACCAAAATTCTCACAGGGGTTTTTCAACATAACGGACTTCCTGTTGGGTTTGGGGGTTGGTGTTGATTGACTTTTTTGTGCGTCCTGACCTGCTACACATGCCCAGCGAATCTTGTAGCTGTAGGTGAGACGACCATCCGACAACAGTCAGTTGAATTCAAAAAACACTGCGAAAATGGACAAAATGGCCATTGATCGAAATTGGACGGGCCGCCATTTCCAAACCGGGCCTCATCTGCGGAACATTTGAAGAACTTTCCGCAACTTTTAGTCACCATGTCATGTAGTTTGTGCCTGACAAATTTCAGGTGTGTACAACGAACCCCTTAGGAGGAGTTAGATTTAGAAAATGGCCAAAAATGGCCATTTTTGAGCAAAAATGGCCTGGCATGGTCGTGGTTTTTCCAACATGGCAGATATCCTGTTGGATTGACAGAAACATGCTAATGGACTTTTTTGTGGGTCACAAGTTGCTACATATGTGTGGTGAAGGTCATAGTTGTAGGTGAAACGTAGCC